GTTCCACCCCACAAAATCAGAATACACATTCTTTTCAGCTGCACACGGGTCGTTTTCCAAAATAGACCACATACTCGCTCATAGAACAAATTTAAGTAAGTGCAAAGGAACTAAAGTTATTCCCTGTAGAGTATCAGACCATAGTGCAATGAAATTGGAGATCAATAGCAAAAGAAACTGCAAGAATTTCATAAACACACGGAAATTTAACAACCAATGGGTCACAAGAAATTAAAGAAGAAAGCAGTTTGTACAATTAAATGACAATGTCAGTACAACATATCACAATTTATAGGACACAATGTAAGCAGTCTTAACAAGGGAAATTCATAGCACTGAATACCCATACTAGGAAAACAGAGGGAACTGAAATAAACCACCTGATGCTGAACCTCAGGCTTCTAGAAAAAAGAGCAGGACAAACCCAAAGATCATACAAGGGAGGATTATGAAGATCAGAGCAGAAATCAATGCAATGCACTGGAAGAGAATGATAAAAAAAAAAAAACTCAGTGAAGCAAAGAATTGGTTCTTTGAAAGCATAAACAAAAGTGACAAACCCTTAGCCAACCTTATCAGAAAAAGGAAAGAAAATGCCCAAATCCAAGCAATTAGGAATGAAAAGGGTGAAATTACAAAGGACCCAGGAGAAATCCAGAGGATCATCAATACCTAACTTGAGAACCTAGAGGCCAATAAGATGGAAAACACAGAAGAAATGGACAGATTCCTAGGTACGTATGAATTACCAAAATTGAACAAAGAAGACCTAAAAATTCTAAACAACCCAATATCAATCAATGAAATTGAAAACGTAATTAAAAACTTACCAATGCAGAAAAGCCCAGAGCCTGATGGCTTCACCGCTGAATTCTACAAGACATTTAGAGAGGAACGACTCCCACTACTGTTTAAACTCTTCAATGAAATTGAAAGGGAAGCAATACTCCCCACTTCATTCCTGAAAGCAAGCATCACCTTGATCCCCAAAGCAGAGAAAGACCCAACCAAAAAAGAGAACTATAGGCCAATCTCACTAATGAACAAAGATGCAGAAATCCTTAGTAAGAAAGATACTGGCAAAAAGAATGCAGAAGATCATCAAGAAGATCATACACCCTGACCAAGTGGGATTCATCCCAGGGATGCAGGGATGGTTCAACATATGC